TATGAGACCAAAATCGCAACGTTGGGATTATTTTTGAAAGAATGCAAATCTTATGGAGCAATATGCAATTTTATCTCTTTATTAGAGCTCAATTTTTACTCCAAGCCTTTCCCATAATATATATATATATATAGGGGGCGGATCAAATGCAGTCAGCTCTTAAAATGCATCCAGCTCTTAAAATGCGCTCAGCTCTTAGCAACTACAGACAACTAACCTAGCAACTACAGAGAACTAACCTAACAACTACAGAGAACTAACCTAGGTACTACTAACCTAGCAACTACTAACTTAACAACTACAGAGAACTAATTTAGCAACTACAGAGAGCTAACCTAGCAACTAGTAACCTAGCAACTACAGAGAACTAACCTAGCAACTACAGAGAACTAACCTAGCAACTACAAAGAACTAACTTAGCAACTACAAAGAACTTACCTTACAACTACAAATAACTAACCTAGCAACTACTAACCTAGCAACTACAGAGAACTAACCTAGCAACTACAGACAACTAACCTAGCAACTGCAGAGAACTAAACTAGCAACTAGATAGAACTAACCTAGCAACTACAAATAACTAACCTAGCAACTACAAAGAACTAACCTAGCAACTAGAGAGAACTAACCTAGCAACTACTAACCTAGCAACTACAAACAACTAACCTAGCAACTACAGAGAACTAGCCTAGCAACTACATAGAACTAACCTAGTTGGAAGGTTNATATTAAAAATAACCATTTACTAAAAAAAATTTTGGAAGCATTTAATGCATGCCTTTTTTTGGAAACTTATTAATAATATTCATTAATTGCTTCCATATATACGTTTTCAAATAAGATCAAATTAGATATGATAAAAACTATTGTTTCCTTAAATACTTTTATTATATATGCAATAATTTCATTATATCCCTTATAACAAATTACAAAAATTGATTTTCCGTAATTCAAGTTGATTTAATTTTGGTCATGATAAATATTAAAACGTACTTTAATTTCTAACCATAATATTAATTTTTTCACAAATATTCACTTTTTATCCAAAAATATTTATTGATATTCGTAACAAGTTAGGTAAAATTTTTTCTTTTAATTAATCAGGCAAAATCAAGTTGGTGAATTAATCTTTGTCAGTATAATTTTTCTTAAGATTTATTTCGTTATATATAAAAAATTAATTATTTTTCAAATTAGTATAATTTATCATTTAAGAGATAATGACCAGATACATTAAATAATTTTACTAATAGTCAAAAATTAAAATTGAAATATATTAACTGTTTTTTAGGATTTATTTGTATATTATTGACAACCATGATTAATTTTTTTATCATTTTTTTTTTATTTTGATTTCTTTCTTTAATGAAATTCTTGTAAAATATATTTTCATTATAATACAAATTAGAAAAATCTTGATTATAGAAGGGATTGAGTTTTTGGCATTTGCTAAATCAAAGTTGTTAATTAGTATACAAAATCTATAGTAATATAAAGAGGTTGGTGGAAAAATACTTTTATAATAAGTTTGACTAAAAGAATAAATGATTTGACTTACGATTAATGAAAATTTCGAAAAAAATACATGTACTAAAAAAATTGAGATTTTTATGGTAACAAATTTGGAGATTTTTGTGGTAACAAATTTAATTGAGATATCCCCAAAAAAATTGGAGATTTTTATGGTAACAAATTTAGAAATTCCTAACCAAAATTTAATTCATTTTAAATATTAATCCATAAGAATCTACTTTTATTGCTAACAAATTTGAAGATTGTTATGCCAAAAAATTGAGATTTTGAATTGAGATATTTCAACAATTATGGATTTTTTTTCCATTCAAATTAATGTTGTAAATAAAAAAAAAAATTATTCCAAAAATAATGGATGTTATACCAACTCTTGATAAACTCCAACCCCATAGAAAATTTCTATGGGATTCTTATGGTAACAAATTGGATATTCTTATGCCAAAAAATTGAGATTTTGAATTGAGATATCATAACAATTTCGAATTTTTTCCCCTTCAAATTCATGTTGTAAATCAAACAAAAAATTATTCCGAGAATAATGGATGTTATACTAAATATTGATAAACTCCAATCCATAGGAAATTTTTATGGGTTTCTTATGGTAACAAATTGAAGATTTTTATGGTAACAAATTTAGAGATTCTTAAACTAAAATTTAATTCATTTTAAATATTAATCCCATAGGAATCTATTTTTATTGGTAACAAACTTGAAGATTCTTATGCCAAAAAATTGAGATTTTGAATTGAGATATCTCAACAATTACGGATTCTTTTTTTTTTCATTCAAATTAATGTTGTAAATCAAACAAAAAATTATTCCGAGATAATGGATGCTATACTAAATTAATATCACTAGGCCCACACGTTAATATGATATTAATTAGATAGATAAATTACGTAAATCTTTCCTAACAAAATGCGTTCCAATTTTGTTAACTAATTTGATAGGATTTTGGTAACTACGGGATTTTGTTAGCTTTTCATGGAAACACGTATCTTCATTATTGATAAGGTTTGATAAGATTTTGTTTCCAATTTTTTTTTTCTCTCTCTCGAAAATTTGAGTTGTGGATTTGAAAAAAAATAAATAAATAAAATAAACATATCATATTGATAAAGTTTTAGTGTGGGCATAAAAATCAATTTTGATTTGATTGAACTTTGTTTCATATAAACCTAAGAGAATCAGACGTTTGAAAAAATAAAATATTAATAGTAAATAATCATACCATATTTGTAAGGTTTGATTTGGAATATTGAGGCATAAAAATCAATTATGATTTGATCACATTTTGTTTTATAGAAGTTATCTTAGAAAATTTGACACGTTTCAAAAAATTAAAGATTATAATTTCGTAAATTAAAGTTTTGGATTTGTCCAAATAAATAGGAAAATATAAAAATAAAAATATTATTTTTCAATCTATCCAAAAAGTCTTACCAAATTTCATTGTAACAAACTCCATTATTTTTGGCTACATAATCTTCTAAATATTCGTTCGTCCCTCGCAAGTGAATTACGTTCCACATTTTTTTTTAACAAAACCGATAACATATATTTTTATAAGTCAATTATAATCATAATAAAAAAAACGGATCGGATCATATTAAATACCTTATGTAAATATTTTTTTTTATTTTCCAGACATATGTCACATACACATGACTATATAAACATCACCAACGTTGAACAAAAAGTATTCGACATCCAATGTATCCCACAAAATAATTTTTTCTACAAGCTTTTACATCACCATTAAAAATGGCTTCGGATTTTGGAGTAATCAAGGATATCAAAAGATCTAATAAGCCACTAATCAAGCTACGCATAATTAGGATGTTCCAACGAGTTGAAGACATACGCAATTACCGAAATGTTCTTGAGATTATCTTTCATGATTTTGAGATAATATATTCATTTAGTATTATTTAAATGCATCAGATTATGCAACATCTTTTATAATTTATTTATTAAATTATTCATTATGCAATGTTTTAGGGAGGACGAATTACTGGCATAATTCGACCTGTCAATATCCAAAAAATCATCGGTGATATTGAAGAAGGTGACGCTTATATCTTGACAAACTATCAAGTGGAAAGCAATATTGGCATCCATAAATCGACGATAGAAAAAAGGATGATCATTATCAATGGCCAAACCAAGATTATCAAATGGAGGGGTGATTTTCTCATTTCTAACTTTAATGGATGTTCGTAACATTGATGAAGTCATGTTGTTTGGTACGTTATAATTTTTTTGTTTATTTCTTATTTCGATTTTGTTTAATTTAAAATCTGTAATAAACTATTTTATATGTTATACATTTCAATATGATGCATTTTCTTATATTTTTGTAGATGTTATTAGATTGATTGTTTTCCATTATGTTTTCTTACGTCATTACTATAAATAAGAGACAGGAACAATTATTATCGCATGTGAGCTTATTTCTTAAGAAACCAGTGTTTAGTCATGGTCAATTGTATATTGTTGTCTCCTATGTCACAAACAGAAATGGGTTTGAAAGTCCTAATTTGTCGCGACGATGACGTGCCAAAGAATCAAACCATGAACGTTGTATATAAGGAAGTGTTCAATAATATATAGATTTTATTATCATTGTATTTATTAATTTATTTATTATTAATGACATGATCTTTCCTTTAGTAAGTACTTTGATTTTAACTGAACATTGCTTTATAAAATGGACGAAGATAATAAACCCCTGTGCATCGCACGGGGACTGTACTAGTTAAATTCTAAAAAAACATGTGTGTATATTTCGTAAAATATTTATACACTATTTAATTTTAAATTTATTTACATATTTTAAATTGATTACGAACAAGAAGACGTATAACTTCTATAACTTTTATAAATGATAATGACATTATATGACAACAAAATTTATAATAAAATAATAACTAACTATAATATGGTGAATAAGAATAATTAAAACTGTAATTTTTTCTTATATCAAGGAATAAATATATATACTAAAATCAAATTTATATTAGTATAAAAGTGTTAGTGAGATAATATATTAATTATTTTACAAGCTAGGTCTAACATGTTCATATTTAATGTTCTGGCTAAAAAAACACCGGTGATTAAAAGAGGTGAAAAATAGATTGCAACACTATTACTTTTATTTTTTGAACTTAACGCTTATTAAAAGAATGTAGAAAATTAATGATAACCTTATTGTTTATTTAAACAGACATAGTCTATAAAACTAAGTCATTTAATATCTCTGTATCGATCCAATACTACTGATATGCATGACCTATCAACAAAGTGTTGAGAAAAAAGAAAAAAGACCTATCAACGAAAAGAAACAGTTTTGTTATAGAGCCATCGAATGACTCGACTATGGAGCCATCCATACTTATTCACCAATAATGTATTGACACGTGTCGTATAATAAATACAATTTAAACATGTGTTGGTGGATGACTCCGTAAGAAAACCACGTTTCATATAATTGTGAAAAGAAATTCATCGAACAGGCATTTTGCCCCTCGAACAGTTGAGCGCAAATCGACAATGGCGGATGACTGTCGACTCATTATTCGGAAGTTTCTTTCACCCGAAGCTTGCAAGGTATCCCTCACAACTCGCGCTTCTTCGTCACCTATCATGTTCAATCCTTCTCCTTCTCAAATTTACTCTCGAATAGGAATTTGAGTTCATACACAAAAGCTGTTCCACAGTTGGGTACAGGCCGAATGTTTTCTCAACCACACTCCCTCATCTTATTGCCACAAACTCTGCGCATCTCATCATGCCCCTTGTCCCTATCCGAGGTTCTCACCTTTCATCTCCAATAATAAGGATAATAATTTTAAATTGTACAGCTGCGTTTGTTGTTTAAGTTTTAATTGATGCAATTTTTAATTGTATTTAGTTGCTCATCGGGTTAATTTGTTGATTTGTAGAGAAGTTGAAGGAAAAAGTGGAGGAGCATTTTGGATGTGAGTACGAATTGGTAGTGGAGTTCACTGGACTTATTAGGTATATTAATGACACTTGTTACAAAGTATATAGGCTTTCTTCCCAAGATGTTATTGAGTTTCAGTATTATTCTCTCATTTCAACGCCCCATGAATAAAGGGTGAGTACCATGGTGTTTTTTTTTTGGTTGTTGTTGTTGTTCTCCTGAAGAAGTTAAAGATATAAAGATATAAATGGAGTTCTTCTTGTTGGTGTGATCTATCTGAAATCATGGTCGAGGCTGAAAGCTTTAGTCTTATGTTATATATTGCTTATGTCAGCTGGTGCAAGGGAGCTAGCATCGGATGGCACAGTGATGATAATAGAGATTATCTCAAACAAAGGGATTTTGCGGTGTGTACATTGCACTTTCTCTATTTCATGTTTTCATGTTCATTCGTTTTCTTCTTGTGTGTAAATTATGTTGGACTCACTTTGTTCTTTTCAGTCCACATAACTTTACCCATTTTGCAAATGCCATCCTTTTTAGCCATTTGTTTAAAACTATCCTTTTTAGCCCTTTCCATACAGGAGATGGTCATAGCCAATGAGAAATGGTTTCCATCTGCAAATGACTAAATGACTAAGAAACAAGTGTTTGGAAAAAAATGGCTAAAACAGATGTATGCTAAAGAACAATGACTATTTTGGTCCATTTGCACTTATTTTTTAGTTCAATCATCGATGCTTGAACAATTAATATGTTAAAGTTCGGAAAAAATAGGAATGATGATACCCCATTGAGTTTACTTCATTTCTTGGATACACTTGTCACGGAAACTGGTTTTATGCGCTTCATTTCTTGTAGCTTCATCACTTTGTATGCTTTTTTCATGGCTATTATGATTACAATCTTTCTCTTGCGAGAATGTTCTTGCCTAGTAATTTTGTAGTGGTATTCGTTAGTATGGCTCTTCATTTATTCCTGTTGCTCTTGGCATTTTGTTATTTTAGTTAGTTGGCTTATCTGTTTGACGCTTCATTTCAGTGAAGATGTTGCTAGTACGAATCTCGTGTGATGCACTGGTTAATAAGAGCTATTCATTAATATTTATAAATTTAAAATGTTCATTAAATAATACTTATAAATTAACAACATAGAATCAATATGTAGTACAATTTATCTTTAAATTATGCAAAATTACATAAAACATGTCTATTTAAAATTAGTACACAACCGGTTGGTGCACGTAAGTAATAATAAATTATATTATATTCATTTCAAAAGTACCATTTTAAAATTTTTATTCAGAAATTCGATTTGACTGCAATGTGATTTCATAAAATAAATATTTTGGTAAAATTTTATCATATATTTAAAAATCTATGTGAATAATTAGTATAATTATAAAACTTATATTGTTTCATTAATTAAAATGAATTTAATTTTGTATAAACTATCCAAATAAAAAAAAATTAAATAGTTGAGTAATTTATTAAACTATAAATAATTGACTATTCCATTTACGTCCAAGTTAATATTGACCCGTAAGTTATGAATATTTACTTATTTGACTTTTATATTTGGAACCCAAATTTGGACTACACAATAAATCCACTTACATATATTTATATATATTTATATACATATACATATATATTATCTCGCAATTTTCTAGATTTGTTGTTGGTTACCTTATCATTCAAATTTAGCAATTAATTCTCTAGAATTATATTTTTAGATTTTATTAACCAATATTTGTTCAAAGATCTTTCTGATTTTCAAGAGGAATACATTACCAATTTGTTCAATGACAAGTTATTATGGGAATATGTTAAAATTTGAGAATCATATCACCTTGATTTTCTAATAAATCAACCTAAAATTCGACTTTCTTACACATACCGATTTAAATTAATACAACTTATTTTGTTTTCAAAATTTCCAAATACACTTCTATATATACCAAATAAATTCATACCATTTAAATTTGGACATTTCATACCAAAATAAAGTTACCCGCTTTATACCATTAAATCGGACATTTATTAATAACACATTTCCTAACAAAAATAAAAATGGTTATCAGATACCTAAAATAAAATCGTCCACTTTATACCAAAAATCGAATTTATTAATTTTGTCAACTTTATACCATAAATTGATTAATTAATTCTAAAGGCGAGATTTTTTGAAATTTTTTAAGAAAGATTACCAAGTTTAGTAATTTTAAAATTTTTAGACGGGATTTTAGTTTATATATATGTGTGTGTGTGTATTACACTTCAAAAAATAATTGTTGATTTAGTGCCTTGTGGATATTTGGACATTAGCAATTGATTCTTTGATCCCCTATCTGTTCAGGCTGTTTGCTATTTGAATAGTTACCAGGTGGATTTCGATGGGGGCTTATTTCATTTTCAAGATGGGGAACCTTCAACCATTGCACCAATGGCTGGTGTAAGTAATTTTCTTATGCAAAAAAATATTTGTTTTGCGTGTATTTCTGTACTACAAAATTTACCCTTCTATTGGCAGGGTTTCTCTTCCTTTAGTTCTTTTGAAGCATTACTTCTTTGGCTTCATAATACTTTTACCATTTGGGTATTTTGACTATTATGTTTTCTGGCTAAAATGTGCACTGACCGGCGACTGCAGAAACATAGGAACAAAATAGAGAGAACAAAGTGATAAGTTTGTTATGAAGTTTTCCTTCTTTTCCTGTTCTCTTAGTTATTTCCTATCTTTCTCTTAGTTCTTATCTTTATTATGAAATAAACTATCTTCATATAATGCTTGTGTAATGTTTCTAAGAAATGCAATTGTAAAGGAAAAAAATTAAATAAGCTATAGCTTAAAATAAAGTAGCGTCCGAAGAAAGAGAACTGAAATTGCCAAATGAAATAAGTCGGCAAAAGAAATGAATTTCTAATTAAAAGAATCAGTCTCCATAATCTTCATAATCGTATGTAACCTTGGACCCATAATTGTTCATCTTTGATAAGATTATTAGAATTGTGCATCCTTATGTAATTATGTTAATATAGCCAGTACAGGATGTGCATGTGAACATAATCAGTGGTAAATGGAGAATAGTTTGAATGTTGTGCGGACACAACTCGTTTTGGTGGTCATAAGTTTGTAGGAATAGGACCTGTCATCTTTAAATTTTTCTATCATGTGACCCAATAAACTTTTGGTTATAAAATTCTCTCTCCTCCCTCTCTTTCTCTCTCTCTCTCTCTATATAATATATTATATAAATATATATTTATATGTGTGTGTGTGTGTGTGTTATTTGTCTATCCTCCAAGAAGCTCTATTCAGTCAAATCAAGTCCTAACCTTTAATTCGGTAATAAGTCATTTGACCTCCCAAATTAACGTTAGTGAGACTCAAGCTCCAGCTAGGAGGAGATTAAATCGGCAAATCAACCTTCGAAAATTTAATTCCAAGACCAGAAAGAGAAGAATCTGAGGAAAAATTAGAGATACCTGCAATGCTGTTTGATCAATAAAATTCAAGTCGTGCAATTATTTCATGTTTCATAAAATGTATTGTAACAAATTTGGCGTCCTCTGGGACTCAGAATGAGTTTATACTCACAACTCACAATAATATAGATCAAATCTTGTGCGCATAGGATCATTTATCTGATTTTTCTTTGAAAATCAGTGTACTACAACATTAAATGGTTAAACGTTCATGAGATATATATTCTTGATGGTAGTGAAAGACAAAGAAGCAAAGAATAGATGTGAAATTGAAAGTTTGCAAGGGACGAACTACTGTTGTATTAAAATTAGTTACTGTGACAGAAGTTAGGCAAGAGAGCAAGACAAACATTGAGAAGGACAAGTTATTATTTGAAAGAAAGATGAAAACTCTAAATATATGTCGTGCTATTGTTAGAGATCAGTCACTTCTGCTTGCTGTCTGATCAAGTTTTAATAATTATGCTGTTCATGTTAGTAATTTTGCTTCACAAAAGACACTTCTGTGATTATTCCCATTGTTTGTTGGAGATTATTCCCAAAGAGAACGTCAACTTCTTGATAATATCTTGAATAATAATATTATTACAGTTTGGCCTTTCTTTATACCCTTAACTCCATTAGTTGCATACTTGCATAGAAAATTGTGGATAACAGCAAAATCATTCTATCTGAGAAATTGACAGCATAAAATGAAATAAAACCATGAAAAATAATTTTGAAGGTTGAACCCAAAATTAGTATTCAATCTAATACAATGAGAACAATTCCTTCCTAATTAATTTATATTATTGCACCTAAATTACAATTTAAATCTTTATTTTTTGTTCGCATTACACCTCCCCATTGTCCAAACTGATTGTGTTGTATCTACACAGGATGTCATAATATACTCTGCAGACAACAGAAATATTCATTGTGTTAGCGAGGTAATATTCATTGTGTTCTCTGTGACTGTGTGTGTCTCAAACACGAAGATTTGCCACTAAATAGCCTGTATATTGTCAATCATCCTTGCCAGTGTACAAGTAACTTGCACATTGAGAGGGGTGTTTACTAAATATAGGTCAATGTGTGATTGTTTATAAATTCAACTAGTTTTTATTTGGTTTGGTTTTAACTATAGTTAATTTTGAAAAAAAGTGATATGGTTAGTTGTTAGTGGATATATTTAATTAATATTTAAATAAAATAATTAAAGTTGATTTGATGTAAAGTAGGAGAAAAATGATTGGAAGTGATAGTTAGTTAAAATTATGTGAGTGGATGAATAGTGAATTTAAGTCAATGTGATGTATAAGAATGATTGGTTGTATTAATTAATTATATTGATAAAATTGGAGATAGTGGAGTTGAGTTAAAGTTGAGTTAAATTTGAGTTTTGATTGATATTTTACTGTTGAAACAATATTCAATCGCCCCCTAAGGTGGTTGTAATTATGAAGAAGGTAATGGTGCATGAGTACTGGGGAGAGTAGGTTATGTTGTTTTTAGAAAATGTAACAGGGTTAAAAGAGCATATACATGTAGCTGTTGCAACCTAAATACCAGATTTGAAAGTAGAATCATGGCTTGTCTACTGTTCATTTACCCTTGTTATTCTATTGAATTAAGTATTAGTTCTGGTTTAAATTGTTTACCAGAAGTAGCCGTGGTTAATTAATTTGTTATCTTGGAAAGTGGAATTCATCAACTTTGATCTGGAATTCTCTTTTTGCTAAAGAAAATTAACTAGTACAATTCCCGTGTATTACACGGGTGTTGAATTAGAAAACTTTTGTAAAAAATATTAAATTTTTTATTTTTTTAAAAACTAAAATAATTTTATTTTATAAAAAACATTACTTTGGGTTTTGATTAAATTGTCAAATTATATTTTTTTAGTCATAATAATTAAACATCCGTACATTAAATAAAAATGTCAACCCATGTTGAATTTTTTTACTTATATCATATAAAAATATTGATATTATTTAATGACACATGTTTCGTAGTCTTTATAAGTTGTGGTTTAGATGTGGCAAGCTTGGTCTTTCTCTTGTTTATATAGACGCAAGCATTAAAATATGATTCATGAAATCAGGCAAATTATGTTTTATATTTTAATAATTAGGGAATATATTATTTTGATAAAAAATATTAATTTATATCCAAGTCTAACTCTAAAGCATGATTTTTTGTCAAATAGGATTCCGAAGCATGAGAATTTGCCACGTAGGCTCAACGCATTCTGAAATTATATATAGAGGGGATGTGTCAAGGTTGAGGTTTAGCAAAAGTTGTGGGAGTAATTGTTACTCTTTCCCAATTTGGTTGTTCCTAATAATTTTACCACTAAAGGGCCTGACTAATGATTTTAAAATTAGCCAATTTAATTTTCACGTGCAAGGTTCGCAAAAAAATATTGTCATTATGAATTCAAAATGACTGCAGACCCCCAAAATTTAATTTTGTGATCAACCCTACCTTAATGCATTAATATATGGGAGAAAAAATTTCAACAGATTCTTAAAGGAGAGAGAACTACCCTTACGTTGTGGTTCAGCCGTGATGCATGTCATGATGAGGATGCAAAACTTCTAATGTCCCTCTCTCATTGTTCACTAAGCAACCCCATTAGCTCAATCAGTTCGTGTTTTCCTACTCTGGCATCAAATAATATGTACTGGTTTCCTCCTGAAGAAGCATCAAAATTCCAGTCGGGTTTTGATATATGCACCGCAAGATTAAATGTTCTTGGATTTGACATTTTTTCTTCATGTGAAGAAGAAGAAGATTCATGTTACAGTATGTTGGAATCATTGAAAATGCCGTTGTATTTGACGTGTGGAGATAAGTCAACTGCATGGGAGTTTGTCAACATATTACACGCCCTCCAGGTATCTTTTCCAGCTAAATCATTTGAAAGTTTTAGAAAAATGTAAAATGTCAAATGTGACACGTATTAAAATGGCGAAGCCATTTGAAGAATATACTCAAACCAAATTAATTCTACTCAAAATTTAACTCAACTTTACTATTCTCGATATTATCAATATAATTAAATAATAACAACCAATCATTAAATAATAACAACCAATCATTTTTACACCTCATATCAACTTGAATTCACTATTTATCCACTCACATAATTTTAATTAACCATCACATCATATCATCTCTCTCCTACTTTTCATCAAACCAATTTTCATTATTTTATTTTCAATATTATTTTAATATAAACTCAAAATCCAACTAACAACTAATTATACCATTTTTTCTTAATTAACCCTAGTTAACTCAAAAAAATTCACTTTGAGTTAATTCACTCAAATTATTCCTTTAACAAACACACCCTAAATGGCTTTCCTCTGTACCCTTGTTCTTTTCGTTGGCATGTGTCGAAATAATTAAAGTTGATCTGTATTATATTTTGAAATAGGTGGTGCAGTTTTACCATTGGAAGGGGGCTGAGTTTCAATTGGCGCCAAATGGGTCGTCTTCGTGTCCTAATTTGGTATCACGGCCTTTATCTGAAATAGATCGGCTGAAAATGAAGCGCGTAAAATCTGTGCTTATCAAGGATGCTCAACTCTCCCATATGCTTTTTGTTGGGAACAAGGAGAGCCTGCAGGTGAAGAAGTCATTTGATGGATTTGTATTTTCAGCTCTAGTTTGCGAATGGGAATCGTATACCCTTAGGTTGCGAGAAGAACTTGCAAGGAGCTTATCTTATTGGGCAACATATGGATCAATCATTTCGGTTAACAATTGTGTGTGAGGCTTTTGATAAATCAATGTATGTGGTGCAAGCACATTGTTTAAAAATGTAAATGGGCCTAGCCCCAAGTCCCATACCGTAAGAGGGTTTTTCTTATTTAAATTTCAAATATTTTTTTTAAAAACTACATTTCTAAAACTAGTACATAGCCCGTGTGATGTACGAGATAAATATGTTAAATGAGTTATTTTCATAGGGCATGTTCGATTAGGCCCCAAAAATAGTAGGTTGGATCATTCATTTTTCCACATCTATTAATCAGTTTACTTTAGCCAGAACTTTAAATATGTGTATATTATGACTACCCTGTAAGTTGTTTAATATATTATCCCACTAACTCATTTATACTAATATAAATTTGATTTTAGTATATATGTTCATTTCTTGATATAAGAAAAACTAACAGTTTTATTTCTTGTTCACCATACAATATTCAATTATTATTATTTTTTTCTAAACAAATTTGTTGTAATATAATGTCATTATTATTTTTTAAAAATGTTATAGAAGTAGTTTTCTTATTTTATTTTATGTAATGAAAAATATTTAATGTAAATTATTATTATTTATTAATGTAATTAACTCAAAATATACACACATGTGATTCTATAAAATTATGGTATCTTACAATAATTTAAAAAATGGAAATAATCTCATATATGTACATATATACATATATATGGTCACGCTCTAGTGAGAATGGAGCTCAGTGAGAAAAATAAGAATAAATCGTAGCCATTAGATCGGATGATCTAATGACTGAAAAAAAGACCAAAATTATACATTCATTAAGGGTAATGTGGTAATATTACACACCCAAACAATTGACCCAACGCCACTAAGAGCATCTCCAACAACACGTGAATTGTAGGATTGTAGAAGCAGCCAGATAAAAAAACTTCTCCAACAGTACTTTTTCTACTTCTATTTATGCTGATGTGGCATGAAAGAGATAGAATTATTCTAGAAGTATTTCTACATATGAAAGTACTTCTAGATTTGATGATTCATTTTTTCCCTTTGTTTATTTTTTATATTAAATTAGCATTATACAATTCATAAGCAATAAAAGCTAATTAAATATAACAATATTTATATGAAGATTATTTTATTTACTAAAACATGTATCTAGTATTTACTAAAAGACTAACTAAACTTGAAGAAAAAATTTAATTTATATTCTATGTCGTTGATCAAATTATAGTTTGTTGGTATTTATTAGTACACACTTTATCAAATAGATAAAGAAAAATAAAAGAAAAAATTGAAAAATTCTAAAATTATATTATAAATTTAATGGTACATATTTTGTTAAAATTATGCATTAAAATACATAATGAAATGAGATTCTTAAAAAAATACCGATACAAAAATATTAATATCAGTTGGTGGTAGGTAGTAGCTCTTCAAAAAATAAATAGACCATTGGAGTGTTATTTATGAATATGTTATTCTATTCAATCCACGTAGACAGAAACCATCTATTATAGATGACAATTTACTTTAACCATTGGAGATGCTCTAATACACTCACTAACACATGGGACCCGCTGCCACCTCACCCTTCTCTCTCTCTCTCTCACACACACACACACACACGCACGCACGCAAACCACATGCATGCACAAAACAAACACACAACACACACACATTATATACGCCACACAAACACACGCACACTCATGCACAAAACTCCAGCAGTGACTCCAAACCATTCTCCGACGCCACTCACGATTGTCGATATCCCTCGCACTGCTCTCAGCCGTCCCGTCGCACCACCATGTCGCTGCTGCGTCACCGCCGCACGACGTCGTCTCCTCAAGCCACTATGCTCGTCTCGTCTGAACAGCGATACGACGACGTCTGAACCGATCGAAAATCGGGCAAGCCCATCTCCGGCGACCTTCCATTTGCGGCCAACTGCGACCTTCCAACCACTTGCACCTCTGCCTACAGTGGAGCAGGGCACGCAACCGAATTTCAGGCGTCGAAAAATGATGGAGAATTGGTCTGGATTGAGGGGCTTTTATTTGAGAATTTGATAACCTTGAAGGACCCAATTGTAATTTACAAAATTTTACTTAAATTTTAATTTGGTCCATGGACCAAATATATAATTTATAAAAAAATATTATTTCGTTTTAGGTGTCTGGGTTTTCCCGTCCAGGGGGGGAAGGCTTTAGTTTATATTTGTTTTCGTTTTGTTGTTTTGTTGTGGTGCTTGTTTAATATTGTAAGTGTGC